TCGATGAAATCGCCTGGTGTGTCCACGACTGCCCGATGCCATCGGCCGATGGCGTCGGGCGATGGCATCGCCTGGTGTGTCCGGCCCTTAACCCGCCTTTCACAAACAAGTGTGTGTTTACTAACCCGCCTTTCACAAACAAGCGTGTGTTTACTAACCCGCCTTTCACAAACATGCATGTGTTTACTACCCCGCCTCTCACAAACATGTATGTGTTTACTAACCCGCCTCTCACATACATGTATGTGTTTACTAACCCGCCTCTCACAAACAATCAAGTGTTTACTAACCTGCTTCTCACAAACAAGCGTGTGTTTACTAACCCGCCTTTCACAAACAAGCATGTGTTTACTAACCCGCCTATCACAAACAAGCATGTGTTTACTAACCCGCCTCTCACAAACAAGCATGTGTTTACTAACCCGCCTCTCACAAACAAGCATGTGTTTACTAACTCGCCTCTCACAAACAAGCGTGTGTTTACTAACCCGCCTCTCACAAACAAGCATGTGTTTACTAACCCGCCTCTCACAAACAAGCATGTGTTTTGTGTGTGTGTATGTGTGTGTGTGTGTGTGTGTGTGTGTGTGTGTGTGTGTGTGTGTGTGTGTGTGTGTGTGTGTGTGTGTGTGTGTGTGTGTGTGTGTGTGTGTGTGTGTGTGTGTGTGTGTGTGTGTGTGTGTGTGTGTGTGTGTGTGTGTGTGCGCGCGCGCGCGCGTAGTGTGTATTTATTTATTTTATTGTTTAATTGTATACAATAGATGACGACGAAGCTCGCAGCTCTCTCGCGTGATGTATGTGTAAGCTAATAAAAATTCCAGGTGTGCCTTACGAATTTCAAGGTGTGTGTTTTCGTTTTGGTCGACATTGGATTTTATTTCAACAGTACATTCAATTTAAACACACGTCTAGCATGAAAACACACAAACATATTCTATCACTAATCAATAAATAAATAATCAAATTCAGCGTGAAAAGGCACGGATATCATATATATTCCATCAATAATCAATGAGTAAATAACCGATACAAGCCGGTGACTTCTATTGTCTATTTTACGCATCGAGCGCCATCTATCGTGAGATATACCACATCGTCTGTATGTCTCGAATACGTACTAAAAACATATTATTTATATAAGGCTAATAAAATTATTGTTCGTTTCTCAGATCCCGCCGCATCTGCTTTGTGGTTCCGCATTACCCTTTTTCATTACTCGTCCCACAAAATAATAAAAATAATCCACATTCGAAGTCTATGAAAGTTCAAAAAAGTGAACTGAATTGATAGATACATGTCGATCTCACTATTTTCTGTATTAAAACGTTTTGGCACCATTTAGAAACCTGTTGTCTGATTCTTATATTAATGTGAATAAATGTTATGGCGTGTACATATTACACGCATCCAATTAAAACATTAACTAAACTAACTAAACACTAAACAAACATACCTGCCTCATAGTTTTTTGGGGGGATAAAATAAAAAAGACACTTGCCCGCCTCAAAATTGGCCTGAGAAACGAACAATTAATTTTTAGGCCTATATATATGTGTGTTATTGTTTGTATTTATATTTATATTTTAATACCAGCTAGGTAGACGAGAAACGCATAAGCTAAGCCCCAAAAAGTATGCAATCTTTTTTTATCAAAGATAAAAGTTGATGAGGAAACACCAATAAAAACGTAGAAAATAGGTCTTATCAGTCTAAATCCCTTCTAGAACAAGTTACGTTACAAGTCTACATTCATATCTAAAGCATATTGCGTAGATAACTTCATATTATATGGGGCAAAAATTCAAACTAAATTACGACTCGTTCACGAAATGAGCACATAATATCATAAATTAGTTGGTGTAATGAAATGAAAATAAAAAAGAATGAAGATGAAATGATCATAACAATATAAGCCTACACCATACCATTACTATATCTTACTATATAGATACTATAGTTACGGTATGTCTATAACCTATATAATATTATGGCAGAACGTGGCTTAGTACATATCAATAAAAAATCGATTTCCCATCGAGTCGATGAACTGATGATTTTGTCGTCAAGTTACTAGTAAACACGTTATCAGGAGACAATACATGATGTCAACTGTCAGCGGAGCTCTGCGGCAATCAACGACACACACGACTCGACATTGTCTAGAGATATTACGACAACAGTAGATTGTTTTAAACAACAAACACATGCTTGTTTGTGAGAGGCGGGTTAGTAAACACATGCTTGTTTGTGAGAGGCGGGTTAGT